GTCACACAAACCGAAGCCGAGATCAACGAGCTTACCATTGCCGTTAACGATTTGCGAGGCAAATTGTGAGTGTTCAAGGCAGCATTATCCACTTTTTTCTTCAGCAAATTCTTATACAAAATCGATTACACTTGCTGCACGCTGCAGCTGTAAAAAAACGACTTGTAACGTGTTTCTCAAAGAAGTTACTACTACCGGAACTGATCGCAACTGTGGCCGCGCCTTACCATTACTCCCTTCATTACACCCTTCAGCTCACCATCGTCAGAGAGCATCCTTTTTATCTAGTGCGCCAATACAAACTTCTTTTGACGCATTTTCAGTGAAACGGCCTAGAGCCAGATGGTACGATAATTTGGTTGCCCGTTGGAAATGAAAATAAAGTTGCTAGGAGATGCAGCAGTGACGATAAACGAAGCGAGGGACTTCCTCCGTTTTCGTTGGGCCAGACTCATCGGTGTTCAATCATCAATGTAAATCTTGTGTTCTGCTTCTCTGCCTAAACAGCTAGAGTCCGACAGCAAAGGATCAGCAGCCATCGGATGCGAGCAGGGACACAGAGGCGCTGAGAGGGATGGGAAAACCTTTACCGTTACGTACTAAGATCAGAATCTTAGCAGCCGCTCCCTTATTGGATCAGAAACATTCACACCAGGCTACTCCCATTTTCTCAACATCCAGTTTACTGTGTCGCCTGCCTTGGAGGTTTTGGGTATGCTTGGCGACCGGCTTTATGCAGCAGGCCAGGACGTCCGTCGTCACTCTATCCTCTGCCTTCTCCCCCTAAGTCTCAACTATTGAGACGATCACAAGAGTATGTAGTACTGATGGTGGGAGAGTGCCACACCCACATAATAATCTTGTCCTTAAAGGCAAGAATCAGGATTACATTGATGGGTTGATTGATTCTCAAATGTGAAAGTAGGGATGAGAGGTGGACCGCCAATGGAGAAAAAAGGAAAGAAAATCCTGACATGCACAGGAAATACGAGCATTTTGCTCAAGTTAAAGTGA